TAATTTATTTTTGATTTAATAATTTTTTTATAAGGATAATAATTAAGTAATCTGTTAGAACTCAATGATTATCTTAATTATATTTTAGCTTTTTATATTTAAAATGAGATGTTTATCCAATATTTGATTATGTTTATCTGCAGTTAGTTACACGAATTCAAATATGAAGTTTTAATAAGTTGTACTTATGCACAATTTACTTGTAATATTAAATTTTAAATAATATGCATCAATAAACAGTACTTCATGCATATAAGTGGTTTTTAAGAGTTGTTTTGTCAAATGCTTTATAATATAGTATAGATTATTATTATTATTATTATTAAAACTTTGATTATAAGTTACTATTTTTATTTCAATTCTATGTTATTTAAAGTACAAAAATAATAATAATTCAGTATTGTCTTTTTTGTTATACATCATCATTGATGTTTTTTAGTCACTCACTATTTTTTGTTGACATTTTTCAGTCACAATTTTTCTATAATAATTTTTAGGGAAAAGTACAATAAAAATCAATGAACTTTTTTGTTTGGAATGATTAAGTCTTTGGACTTTTTTTTGGAACAAATAAGTCCTTGGACATTCCAAAACATGTTAAATAAGTCCTTAGACAATTTTTTGGAACAAATAAGTCCTTGGACAATTTTTTGGAACAAATAAGTCCTTGGACATTCCAAAATATGTTAAATAAGTCATTGGACAATTTTTGGAACAAATAAGTCCTTGGACATTCCAAAAAATGTTAAATAACTCCTTGGACAATTTTTGGAACAAATAAGTCCTTGGACATTCCAAAAAATGTTAAATAAATCCTTGAACAATTTTTGGAACAAATAAGTTCTTGAACAATCCAAAACATGTTAAATAACTTCTTGAACTTTTATAAAACATGTTGGAAGATTCATATTTTGAAAGATTAAGCCCCTAAATATTTTTTGAACCAAAAAGTATTTAGATCTATAAAATTAAACAAATATAACAAAAAAGTACTTACATTTACAAAAAAATAATTACATTTAAAAAAGATTTTTGATAAAGTTGATTTTAATTAAAATTAAAATATATTCTGTCAGTAATTTTTCAAACAAAAAAAATAATTATTATTAAATTTATTTTAATTAAAAATATATATATCATGTATGTGATTTTTTAAAT